ATCAACATATTTAACACATCTTTTTTTCGTAAGCGTCTGGTTGAAGATATGACTTTCGCTATTGACATTGCCTGTAATTAACAAATACACTAAATAGGAAGATTTATTATACAACTTCAAAGGCTAGTCGCCTCCCTAAACGGACCCCCCGCGTCCTATCTCTTATGTTAATTAACTTTCTGAATTCTCTAATTGAAGTTTTTTTTAATTAATAACTGAAATCTCTAATCTACCTACACAAAAATAACCCATGCTTTTAAACTTAAATTTAACGTGTTTCAAGTAATTCTGGCTTTGACATATATTAATTATATGTTTGTTCGTCCCAGGTGACACCTTCAAGTGACTAAAATGCTTCACTTTGAAGTAAGTTTCCAAGCTAATTTTAAATTGTATATTGTATAGGGTAAATGTTCCAATTACGCTCTCACGTTTCCACTATGTCGCACCAAAAAAATACATATGGGTATTTCACAATAGAAGCACACCACATTGGAAATCCCGAGTCATAGTTCAAACACTTATCCCAAATCAAAATGAAGCACATATAAGATTAGTTACAATACCATGTACAAAAATGGTGTTTAACATTGTTTCCTGAGTAATACTTCAATGAAAACAACAATGAAAGCTTGTCACGCAAGTAGAAGGAGCACTGTTGGGCACTTTCTGAAATATTTCAATAGTATAATTCCCTTGCAAACCCAAATAAATCTATCTGCGTAAAACTAAATAAATTAAGAGTGATTTGCGGCAAAACCCGCCAGCATCACACCCAACGTCAGTGCCTATACGTAAGCGTACTACGACGCGGCTCTCAATCAAAGGAGTAACAAGTGTGATACTATCACTGCTGAAGGGTGATACGGTCAAAATTTGGTCAATATCAACTTGACGTATTTCTTTCAATTTTGCATTTAAAAAACCTGAACACCCCTCATTTGGAAGGTGTGTGTGTGTAGAATGTTGTTCCTATTTTGATTTTGGAATTCACTCTTCAGTTGTCAAAATGCCGTCCAAGCAAGAAGAGCAGCGTATCAAAATTTTGCTCGCGCATCGCGAAAACCCGAGCTACTCGCACGCAAAGTTGGCAAAATCGCTAAAAGTTGCCAAATCAACCGTTACAAATGTAATTAAAGTGTTTGGGGAACGTTTGTCGACAGCCAGGAAGTCTGGATCGGGGGGAAATCGAAAACCGGAAGCCGCTGAGACGACAAAGAGAGTTGCCGGTAGTTTCAAGCGAAACCCTAACCTCTCTCTCCGAGATGCCGCAAATAAGCTGGGTGTATCGTCTACAACCGTGCATCGAGCCAAAAAACGAGCCGGACTATCGACTTACAAGAAGGTAGTGACTCCAAATCGCGATGATAAACAAAATACGACGGCCAAAGCGCGATCCCGGAGGCTGTACACGACGATGCTGACGAAGTTTGACTGCGTGGTAATGGACGACGAAACCTACGTCAAAGCCGACTACAAGCAGCTTCCGGGACAGGAGTTTTATACGGCAAAAGGAAGGGGAAAGGTAGCAGATGTTTTCAAGCACATGAAACTGTCAAAGTTCGCAAAGAAATATCTGGTTTGGCAAGCCATCTGTACCTGTGGCTTGAAAAGCAGCATTTTCATAGCTTCCGGGACTGTCAACCAAGAAATTTACGTGAAAGAGTGTTTGAATAAACGTCTGCTGCCTTTCCCGAAGAAACACGGTTGTTCCGTACTGTTTTGGCCGGATTTGGCATCTTGCCATTACGGTAAAAAGGCCATGGAGTGGTACGCCGCCAACAACGTGCAGGTGGTTCCCAAGGACAAGAACCCTCCCAACAAGCCAGAGCTCCGCCCAATTGAGAAATACTGGGCTATTGTCAAGCGGAACCTAAAGAAGACCAAAAAAACTGCTAAGGGTGAGCAGCAGTTCAAGGCAAACTGGCTTTCTGCGGCGAAGAAGGTGGACAAGGTGGCTGTACAAAATCTGATGGCAGGGGTCAAGCGTAAGGCCCGGCAATTCGGATTTGGAAAAGCGGAAGCCTAGCTGAATATTTTTCCAGAATTTTATACTAATTGAACTTGAAAAAGAAATTTAATTTGATTTTTTAAATAAACGATTTCACCGATTTACACGCGTTTTCCCTTGACCAAATTTTGACCGTATCACCCTTTAGACTAGATCTTTGGTTCTCTCATGCAGTGGTTTATCAGAGAGGGGAAGCTTAGTAATCCCCATTGCCTGCCCATGTCGCCATTCTATCGCGTCATGAGCCAGCAACGCCGGCCATAAACCTACCGTCTCCAACACTCCACTAAAAAGCATGAAATTAAGCCCGCCCACCAGCATCAAGGTGCAAAAACTAGCCACGGGGAGGGAATTTCAGGATTGTTCCAAGAACTTTAGGCAATATTCGAAACATTCAGAGACATTTAAAAAATGTTTGGGCCTGGTAAGTTCGGAGAACTACAGAAAAATCCAGAACTTTGAGATCTTTAAAGGTAAATTCCGAAAACTTCTTCTTCTTCTTCGCATTTCAAGCTTATTGCACATCGTATATTAGCTTATTGCGTGCTCTCAACTTAGTGTTCATGCACTTCCATAGTTAGTAATTGAGAGCTTTCTATGCCTGTACCATTTTTGCATTGATATAATTGTGTGGCAAGTCCCATCATACGTCTATGCCCAGGGAAGTCGAGAAATTTTCCAACCCGAAAAATTCCTAGACCGGACCGGGAATCGAACCCAGCCACCTCCAGCATGGTCTTGCTTTGTAGCTGCGCCTTTACCGACTGAGCTAAGGGAGGCCCCGAAAGCTACAGGGCAGTTAAATTAACTTCAGGGAAATTCGTAAACTAAGATGGAGAACAGAGAGCTTCGTGAAAGTTCTATTAACTTCAAGAAACTTCAGGAAAAACTTGAGATCTTAACTTAAGATTCTTAAGGATCGTTAAAATAGCAGGAACATTACGGATTTTTCAAGAACAAAGTCAACAAAAATTCAAAGAAGTCCCATGAACTTCAGATAAATTGCAGGAATTTTAATAAAACTTCGAGATTTTCTGGAAAATTTGGAAAAAAAATATATATATAAAAATTCTATTAATGCCAGAAAAATTGCAGGATCCTTCAATAATGAGAATTTATTGGGTTTTTTTTTAAATTTAAAAGAAGTCTCGAACACTTAATATCCCGTTCACATTACAGCGTATATCACGTAATATACGCTGTCTTGCAATGAGCACTCATACATCTAGTTTTCACTGAGTGCTCATTGCAAGACAGCCTATATTACGTGTTATAAGCTGTAATGTGAACGGGGTATAAGGGTAGTTCTGGAAATTTCAAGATCGTCCAGAAATACGGGCAAAGTTTTCATTCAGAAACGTTCTGATAGCTTCAGGGCAGTTCAATAGATTTCTGGAAAATTTATAGAAATTCAGTGAGGGTCAAAGTGCTTCACGGCAGTACTTCAGGAATATTTCTGAAACTTTACAGAATTTACCAAAACTCAAGTTGAGTTAAATGATCTTAAAGAACGATAAGTAGCTTCCTAAAAAAGTTGTCCTTGCTCGCTTTCTACTCTCTATATACAATTTTCACACTGCCGTACTCTAATACCCCGTTCACCGCTATATCACGTGATATAGACTGTCTTGCAATGAGCACTCATACATAGGATTTCCAGTGAAAACTAGATGTATAAGTGCTCGTTGCAAGACAGCGTATATCACGTGATTTACGCTGTAATGTGAACGGGGTATAACGGAATAATCAACTCTATACTTTCATCTCCTCATGTATCGTATAAAAATTACCAATTAAGTCTGTTATTTGAAATTAACATCTTCAACTATGTAAATCGATAACATCACGATGTTCACTTTACCTGAACAATGTGAAAATATGAAAGGGTAGTTACCGTTTTATCACGGAGGTTAATACCCCGTTCACATTACAGCGTATATCACGTGATATACGCTGTCTTGCAATGAGCATTCATAATCTAGTTTTCACTGGAAATCCTATGTATGAGTGCTCATTGCAAGACAGCCTATATTACATGATATAAGCCATAGTCTGTCCGGGGTATAATGTGCGAAGCCTTGATATTCTTGGACCGTAGGATTTGTAGTGATAGATACTGTACCTGCTAGCCAGACAAGATGGAAAACACAAAATTGTGTGAATTTTCACCCAGCAGGCGGAAAATCAACTGAACTAGAAGTTTCACGGACTGAAACATGAAGATTTCAAGTTTTCTAATGTAAAATTCAAAATAATTATTTGGTAAATATTGGAGACATTAAGTATGATCAATCCGTTATACTATGTTCGATATTATATATACCCTGCATAAAATTACATATAAATTCCCCTAGCTCGGAGCGTTTGGTACGGTATGTCCACGCATCCTTCCACCCCTGTAGATTCACGAAATGCATCGATGTTTGAATATATTTATTCGAACTCCAATCATTTCACTGAATCATCTTTGCGGTAAATGCAACGCAGTTGACGTTTGTGTCATATCTCAGAAATGCTGCAAACATCAATGTTGACAAGAAAAGTGATTAACCGTTATCTAACCTAATCATTTTCCAGGATGCTTTCTCGTCCTGGCTGCGTTTGTATTAGATTAGATTAGATTAGATTAGATTAGATTAGCATGTATTTATTTTCAATGCGCCCCCTGTCAAAAAGATGGTGACTCTGTGCTACTTAAGAACTTGAGTTTCCCCAAAAAACAAGAAAACATTGCTACTCTCGGAACGAACATCTTTCTTAATTTTCATTTGTCTCGGATGAGTTTCTAACGACGCTAAAACCCTGTTAATGACAGGTCCCTTCTGTTTGAAATTACGCTCCTCCAACAGATAATTAATTATCATCTGATGCGAAACATGAATCAAGGATTCTCTAGAGACTTTCCCGACAATAATGATTCTTTTTTTTCAACGAAAATTTAACTTATTCTACCATTCTCACCGCATTCCGTTTCATCTCCCTTTCACAGTGTGACGCATTCATTCGCCTCGCAGAGGGTGGACAAGTTGACCCTGGAGGAGAAGGAGGCCGGCCAGCGGTTCCTGCAAACGTTGCGGCGCAACCATGAGCACGAGAAATCCCACGACGAGACTGTACCGTCGATCGGAGCGGTCCACTCGGCCAACGACAACAGCGACGGCAGCGGCTCGGCACCGGTCAGCGCTCGAACGGTGAAAGACAAGCGTAGCTCGCTGCGGGCCACTTTGGAGCATTTGATTGTGCGGTACCTGCGACGGATCACCAGCAGCGGGGAGGACGAGGAAGACGACGAGAGGGGCGGATACGAGGCGTCTTCGGTGCGCTACCGCCGTCAGGTAGCGACAGCCGATGTCAACGGGACCGAGCTCGGTGGCGGTGGTGACAATTCTACGGAAGTGGCTGGGAATGAGGGACCGGACAGCTCGGTGGAGATTACATTGCTTACCAATGACAGCGATAGTAGTGGAAACGGTAGTGCTATGATGGGTGATTCTAGTGAGATTACTGTGCCACCTCCGTCGGAAGTTGGCGCGATGGTAGGGAGTGGTAGTGCAGTGGAAAATGTCAACGGCGGGTTGCCATTCGGCACCTCGGTGTCAACCGTTGAAGAGAAAAGTTCTAAAATAGTAGCAGATAGTGGTGAACGACCGGTTTGGAAAGTGTCACGAAAGCATAAATCTAATAGCAAGAAGGAATGTGGCAGCATTCGCAAGCGGATTGCCCAGCTGGATCGATTCGAGTTGGAGAAATCAATGCTGAACGATTCCTTCCGGGAGTACAACATCCGAAGTGCGCTCAACTACAGGTATGTCTCGTTAATCCAACTTTGGGATAGTTAGGTGTGTTGCCTATTCGGTCGCTATTGTTCTATGATTGATTGGATGAGGGAGCATATCGAAAGTTAATAGAGTAGAAATTCAATCATCGGAATAAGAGTTTGTCTTTCTTCGCCTGATGATGAGGCAATACGTCTTGGTTTTTTTTCTGCATTAGTCAACGAATATTGATTGGTTCTTGTTTTGCGGTCTATCTGTCTGTTTGCCTGTCGTCGTCGTCGTTTTGTTTTGTTACGTGAATTCGGTTTCCGTTACGGCTCATTTGATTGATGCTTTTTACTCTGTCAGCATTGTGTACGTTTCTGGTGGAATCTGTGTGTTTCTGCTAGAATGCAAACGATGCTCTATTTGGTACGACAACTTATGGATCTATTCATGAGTATGATAACATGACTCTTTTCCAGCTGAAAATCAAGTTTTCAAACAGTTGTTCCGTTATTCTATACGAATGCGCGTGTTAACAACCTTTTCCTAATTTGAGCAATGGTCATAAGAAAAGTTCACCGTTCCGAAAATAATAATTACGTTTTGATTTTTTTCTAAACATATTGTAAAAAGATACCAAAAATCTAATAAAATCACGTTTTTTTATTATTTATTAAAGAAAGTTTTCTTGCAAAAATATGTTTGTATGAGTAATTGTGGCAAAAAGTTGAACTCATAAAACACAAAACATCGATCTTTCTGTTTTGGTCTTATTTTTTCCACGATGAGATAAAAAAAAATATTTTTACATGTAATAGGTTCTCAGGAATCTAAGGAAAAAAACTGATTTTCCTGGATAGTTGATAATTTTTTTAAATATTTTAAGAAGAATAATAACGCGCCGAAAAACTTAAATTATTTTCGGAGTGGTAAGTTTTTTCTTAAATTTTGACATAGGGTCGTTTTCGACTGAAGAATTTTTATTATAGTGTTCATTCGATTTTGGTTTGGCCTTTAATTTGCTCGTGCGCTGCAGTTTAAAATCTTAAAGTTCGTGTAATATATAACTTAGATTTTTCGAATACGTGTGAAGCTTTGGGCGTGTTCAGTTTTTTAAACTATTATCGACATTTCCCGGCTGGTTCGACTCCTAGAGTCCAGATAATCAGATATGAAATTATTTAAATTTGTGGATAGCTAAACTAATACGGAAAACTTGAAATTTCACGGCGGTTTCGTGACAATATTTGAGCTCACAAAAATTGTAATAATAATAACATGTTCTTCATTTAAACAACAATTTACCAAGAAAGACAACACATTATCTTTAAATTGGATGGTTTCTCCGAATTTTTAGCTAGAATCACATAATTTGTCAAATTTAGTAGTGTCAAGTAATGATCTTATTGTTGTAGTTTTGAATGATTTTTAAACTACTCAAATGAAGTGAGTGATTCCAGCCACATGAAAACAAATAAACCATCATCATTACAATTTCAAACTGAACATTGCATTAGGTTCTAAATAACATTGATCGGTTCTCTTCGTGGATTTTATGTTTTGTTAATAGCTTGAGCACATAGCCGTTTCTTGTAGTGTTTGTCGTATTTGATACAAGATAAAAGCTTTTATCGATCTGTGTGCCGGAAATATCTGGGAATGTCTTTACATGGCCGTGGGGATACAATGAGATAGTCGATGAAGAGAATCTGTCAATGTTACTTAGGACCTAATGCATTGTTCAGCTTGATTTTATGTCAGTTGCCAAAATATGTCTCGTTGTTCTAGATAGAACAAAATCTCAAAATATTATTGTAATTTTAAACCGATTGACAATGTGGTTTATTGATCCAAAAGTCATAACATCAACACTTTCATAATTTCGCATATTCCAAGCGCTGTAGTTCTTCGTAGGAACTACTTTCTATACGACACACGCGTTTTATTGTCAATTTTACTTCGAAATATATTAATGTAATACAGTGCCTTCCTGTTTTTGGCAACACATGTTTTTGGTTTCTTTACTTTCTATAAAATTCTTCGAACAATAATTTAAGTTTTTTATATTGCTAGAGCGTTCTTGAGGGATCAGAGAAAGTTGGTAAAGTAATAAAATTTATCCGGGAAGCATTGGTAAAAAACTAGAGAAATAATGCTAAGGGTTGTGTCCTATGTACGACCGCTTTAATGACAAAGGACTACGAGATTGTTTTTGTCGCTCAATTCAACAATAATTACAATAATTTTGATTTATAAATTCAATACTAAAATCAACAAACATTCAGTTCAAAATTTAAAGTTATGAAAATAAGCGTTAATCAGTATCCATAATTGAATACTTAATTTAAAAAAAAAAAATCAAAATTCAATTCCTATTCCCATTAAAAATTAGAATCCAAACAAGTAAAATGAACTTTCGGAAATTGAATAATTTATTTATGTAACAGTAGAGTGGCAATTCGCTAACTAAATGGAATCCTGGTCTGCACTTCCTTAGGATGTTTGCCATAATATTATAGTTATTCTTCTCAGTATTTCTAATGCTCCTGATAAATCTCAATGCTTCAGAATCTTGGAAATGGTCTTAACCCCATTTTTTTTTAAAGATTTCTGTTAGTACAGAATACGGAGTGTTCAAAAAATTGCTTACTCCGAGATCTCCGAGATTTTATTTATATAAAGATAAGGATTTCTTAAACAATTTCTTAATTGAGTCTCTCATTCTTTACAATTCGGTCTAATGACCCATTCAGCTCAATAGCGTTAGTGGCTTAGTGACCTTACAAATATTGGTTAACCAAAAGTAAATTATACTATCGCACCACTCGGCTAAGCTAGAGCTAGAGTTGTTCAGAGTTATGAGATATTTGTATGGTCACTAGGCCGAACGTTTGGCTGGCAGGCGTCATTCTTCCTCGGTGAACTCGACTGACTTTGGTCGATCCGAGAAGGGACCCTTCTTTACGATGGAGGCCAGCGGTCTGAGGGAGTCGGCCTTTGAGAACGACAAAGGTTCTTTTTCAGTTAGACTCGAAAGCCATCTTGACTTCCGCGCCGCCGTGTGAGACCGTTTAGTAATACGGTACGGCTACCCGTAATCAATTTTGTCAATTCTCTTTTCAGCATATGTGCATCCATTTTTAGTTTAAGGCTACAATGTTCCTCTCTTCAGTATAGTTTGAGTGTTCGCGCTGCTGTATGTTCCCTTCTGTTATTAAAATACGTGAATTTTTCATACAGACGAAAATCCACGGATTGTAACCAACTGGTTACACGCTATTGAAGTGAATGGGTCATTAGACCGAATTTGAAAGAGTTAAAGAATGAATTAAGAAACCTTTCACTTGATGCTTGATATATTTCACACCATCAGTCCACATTTGCGAATCACTTCTAGTTGATTTACACGCTGGACTGACAAATTAATAATTATACACTTTATTAAAATTTATCTTAAGATATCGTTATGATTTCTGAGACATGCAGGTTTCAAATGCATCAACTTATGTGCTACTTTTACAATTGGTTTAATATTAATTAATTTAAAATAAGAATTGAAAATTCTTTAATCAGAACATAGACTCTAATGTCATATTTGAAATAGGAACTTGTTACGTGTTATATGTAAGCTGTTCATAAGATTTTAGAACAGTTGTGAAACATTGTTCTTGTATCACGAAATCTTCTTATAACACATTACAGCCCTTTAGACTAAACATGGAATGAATCTTAACTAGTTTCGAACTTGAAACTCTACTGCAAGGTTGCAAATATTCATTTCAGCTAAAATAATGTTTTTCGGAATAATAAAACCAAAAGATGGTATGATGACATGTTTTGCTTGTAACTTACAAGAAGAGGTTACAAAGTATGCGTTTGAAACATAAAACCTGTAACTTTTGTTTCTATGAGTCACAATCAGCGATTTGCTGATCGCTGAGTGAGAGGGTGAGTGAGTGAGTGAATGTGTGAAAAATCGCTGATTGTGACTCTCATGAAGTGAAATGAACAGGTTTTGTATGTCAAACACATTCTTTGCAACCTCTTCTTGTATCTTACCAAATCAAGATATGATCATCTAATAATTTCATAATTAAAAAAAAAACACTGTTTTAGCTGAAATGAGTATTTGCAACCTTGCTCTACTGGTAATTCTCTTTGAAATGTTTTGAAATTAATTTGCAACTTTTATGAGGATTAGATTTCTTTGAAATTCTTCTCACAGTTTTCTTTGAACTCAAAACTCTGCTCTGCTAAATTTTCATTAAACTTTAGCTAAGATTTTATTTTAAATTTTCCTTCAATTTGTTTTTAAAATAATCCTAAGAATCCGATTCCTTTAATATTGCTTTCGGAATTCTCTTAAGTTTCATTTTTGAATTTTCTTCACCATTCCTCAGAATACCCTTTAAATTCGGCGCATAGTTCTTTTTGAAGTCTCACATCAATCCTCTACTCCTGTTCTCACGATTATATTTTTGTTCATAATCACCATTCAATTCAGAGCATCCTTTTTTCTCCACCACAGAGATAGCTTGGAATTCATCTAAGAATTTCTTAGAACTTTATCTCAAATTTGCCTGGGAATGCCGAGTTGAGCTCCCGTATAATTTTCCTCATTAGTTTTTAGGAATCCTGCTTAGCATATTGTAATTTTTTCAACTTCTCCCCCAAAGTTCCATGTACCAAAATCAAGGCTTAGAAGGATTTTCAGGGTTCTTTTAAGATTTGTTTTATAGAACTCTGCCGAGAATACAGAGTTGTGTAAAAACAACAACGGTTATGTCCAAAGCACGACCACATTGTTGACGTAGGACTACGAGACTATTTGTGTTACTCCATTTAATATATTAATAACCAAATAAATGGTTTAGAAATTCAACTCTAAAATGAAAAAATTCATTATTCCAACTTTTGAAATTGAGCGGCTGTTGGATAAATCCTAAAATTATGATTCAATTTTTGAAATTAGGAAATCAGTATTATTATTAGGTTTTAAACATGTTCACCCAACTTTCGGAAACTTACTTATGTTAGTCATGGC